AAATCTCACCTTTATATGAGTCTGGCAAATCTGGCGGGTTTTTTTTTTTTGTTTTTGTTTTTCATGCTCTCTTTCCTGGGCCCTAGTATCTGAACTGGGAACACATCTCCAGTGAAAGGAACAGAGAGTAGTTTTTCAGTATATTTAGTGTAAGAATGCAAACAAGCAAAAGTTAATTGGTGGCACTATGATGTGACTACTGTCATTAGGAGAAAAACCAACCATCGGAAACTATTCCATAAGAATGTCCTGACCACAGGTAAGTTAGAAGGGAGGTGAATCAGTCCTTGACACAGACCAGGAAAAGTTGTCCATTGCCTTCTAACCATCCTCTACTCAAGCTGCTGTGTCTTTTTAGGCTTATATTTTCAGAAATACCTTCCTGGTCACCTTTTAAAATCCAAGACATGGCAGCTTCCAATTAAAAGCATTCATAATTTATTTTCCTTTTTAAAAATAAATCTCATTGGAAAAACAACTGACAACAGCTGACTTTGCAGGGTTGTACAGTAGAAAACAGTCACTTCACACCATTGTTATATTTTCCCCTTTCTCAAAAAACTCCTTATGAAATAAAAGTATAAAGAAGTTTTAATTCACCAGAGCCCACCACTGGAGAGCTCTCTCTCTCCAGTTGATTTTCTATAACATTTTTATTACTTTTATAATCAAAAGGAAAATATTTGAAGTAAAGTTTCTATCTAAGTGAAAACTGAAAATCTCTGTCTGTTACAACATTCCATGTGAGAAAAGGACACTGGTGGCCCTGACTGGCTCTGGTCTAAGCAAGTCATTGCCTTGGGTAAATAAGTCAATTCTCTGAGTAGCCTGTCAAATGTGGACATAGATGATCTTAAGTACAAAGGGTCTTTCCTCCCAACTCCAACAGCCTATGATTATGAGACAGAAGGTTTCAAAACTTTCCACAGGTCATTCTAGATAGACCGATGACTGTGGCAGCCTGGTTTTTCAATCTCTCCAAATTCCCACATCAAAACTGACAGAGCACCTACATAGCACAACCAACCACTTAGAAACAAGGTACCCCCTTAAGCAACAGAACACAAGCAGGTAGAGACACCACCATTCACAAGACCCGAGTGATGTCTGTGTGGGCAGAAGCAGATGGAAGTCTGAGAACTGGAAGAGCCCAAAATAACCAAATCAGCATACACAGGAAACTGAGAGGAGAATAGCGGCTAAAGCCAGGAGGAGCTTTTGCCTGAGCCTAGAGTGAGTGAGTAAGGGACCCACAGAAAGATCTGCAGGGGCTAAAGCAGTTGATCTGAAAGGGCTAAACTTTCAAGTTGTCCTCTGCAAACTTTCAAGACTGATCCCAGGTTTCCTCTCCAGAAGGAAAAATTGCAGGGAGTGGGTCAAAATCTAACAGAATGGGGGTAACGGAGGCAAAGGAAAGAACAGATCCAGGTAGAAGTAGGTAAGGGGAACAGAGCCAGGAAGTATCAGAAAGCAGGCTGCCACATTGTAGATTACATGACAGCAGAAGACTTAGCTCTATGAACTTAAGAGAGAGAGAAAAAAAAAAAAGCCATAATAAATCCTGCCTCCTTAAAGTTCAAGGAAGCTATTTTTTCATATAAAAATGAAACACAAAAGTACTGAGGTCAAATTCCATACAAAGGTTATAAGAAAGAAGAAGAGGGGGAAAAAAAGAGCAGAATAACATCCCTATAAACCATGAAAGCATGCCACAAAATAGATGAGAGGGAGAAAAAGCCCAATATAATAGCTTACTATTTCAAAATAAGTTAAGAGATTTTCAGGAAATAAAATTACACAAGACACAAAAGAACATAATTCAAAATCAGAAAAACTCAGAAGGTAATAGAACACAGAAAAAACAGAAAGAAGAAAAAATGCATTTCAGAAATAAAGACTAAACTAGGAGAAACACACATGGGAATAAACAATATATAATACCCCAAGAGAAAGAGAAGGTGGAGAATAGGAAGAACAAAGTAAAAAGAGAGAAAGATATAAAGGATTTGACAGATACTTAACACAGGCAAAGAAAACCTCACATACATAATAAGCATCCTTGAAGAATGAAAAATCAAAGTAAGGGAACTGAACTAATATTAAACATTAACATTTTTTTTTAAAAAACCTTACCAGATATTAAAAACATTTATTTTAAAATATAATCAAAATAATGCACAGCAAACCTGAGAATATCTAACGAGAACGATTAAGATTACGAATTGCTCTAGTAAAATTACTGGACTTAAATAAAAAGAAATGAAATAAAATGCTATGAATATCTAGAATAAGTAAATGTCTTGTGAGGGAAAAGAAAGTTGTATTATAATTATCGACTTTGAGAGCAATGCTGTCTGCCAAAAGAGAATTAAAAAAACATATTCACGTAAAGAAAAGATGAGCCAAGGGCTTTCTATTCAGCAAAAATGCCTTTCAAGTATGAAGGGCACCGACACACTGTTATTAGCAAGCAAAGACTCGGAGAAGATTATTTTAATGAGTCCTTCCCGAGGAATTTAAAAGCAGAGGAGTGACATCGACCTGGTCAACATGAAACTTATAGTTCCTTGTTGAGGACTGAAAGGGAGGGAGGACAGGCTGCAATGGCCATCATCAGGAGTGTGGATGTAGTACAATGGCAAAAAATTGGGGAAATGAGGAGAGCATAATGACAACATTTTAAAAAATACTTCTCAGTAATTATATTTTTTATGGGCATGCTAATATTATCCTGAGCCTGTTTGTATATAATATGGAATAAAACAAATAAGTAATTATGAAATATTCTAATTCAGTCATCCTCTGTAACTTTAAGAACCAGGATTCTAAGTATGAAAAGAAAGATAAAATACAGAAGAGGTTAAGTAAAAGTACTCTGTACTTCTTTGAGTAACTCAGCAAGGTCAATGGTTCAGGGATAGTGTGGGGCTGCCTGATTCTCAATGAAAAAAGTAAGAGTAAGGCAGAACTAAATTAACTTTTACCTTTGGAAAATATGGAAGTAGAATAGGGCAATTCAATTTTTCCCAATTTGAATAGGAGCAATTAGCATAACTCCTATGGTATTTTATCTTAAAATTTATTTATATATAAAAAATTTACATACATATAAATTTTAAGATAAAATACCATAGGAGTTATGCTAATATATATATATATATATTATATTATATTATATTATATTATATTATATTATATTATATTATATAAAATTTCTATTATATAATTTCCTGGCTGTCTGTAAAAACAAGAACCAATCTAGAAGCAATAAACACCCTTAGCACCCACATTGTGGTCTTGAAATACCATTTTCCTTGAGTGAAATGAGGGCTACTTGGAGAATGGTTTATTCCAAGTTTGGGGCAAAAAATGTACAAGGTGAACCTGGAACAACTATTAGGCTCATGTCAAAAGACTCCGAAACCAAGTTGAAGAGGTTCTTACTGTAATTTGAGTTTCTGCAAGAAAAATAATTATAATGAATTGAAACCCAAATATGTTTAAATCTATAAATTCATGACAATATTAGAAAAAATAATTAGATACTTTCAGTAAATCATAGTTAATCAATTCATTACCTTGAAAAATGTTAAGTAAATTAAAAGAATAAAGCATTAATTCTGCTTTTCCTCTATGAAATATATCATTGTTTCAATAAATCATACATGATGGACATTGTCTCTTGAAAGCAGTTAATAAACAAGAAAGAATAACTAAAAAAGAAATGGTCAGAACTAAAATATAATGATTTATAAATCCTCATGAATCAATGAACTTAGGTACTGAGTGTGAATAGCTGCTAACATTACTGAAAGCAAGACAACCAGACATTATATGCTGCCCAGTGAATAAACAAGTGCCCTCTAAAGCCATGCCAAGGGTCTGGACATGATCTGACTGAGCCCCTGCAGCCAGCTAATTTGCAGGAAATACAGGGGACAGAGGCACGTGTGGAACTGCACTGAGTGTGCAATTATCAGCATCCAGATTGTGGGCAACCATAGGTCAAGTGGTTGGGTTTAACAGATTAATTATAAGGCAAACAAAGACTAGAGGAAAAACCTGATGATGAAGAGATTCAATGGAAACAGTTTTTAAATGGATTAAGACTAAACTCTGTCTATAGACTTTAGTGGAAAACTGTAAAGAAACAGAAAGTCTATAATAATAAAAGGGTAATATACTAATTAGACAGGATGTCTTCCAGACGTCATTCCGGACGTCCTTCCTGACGAAGCCAGGGCCGAAGGGAAGCCAGCCTGGGTCCCGGGTGCCTGTGGCTGGCCAGAGGGAAGCCAGCCCAGGTCCCGGGTGCCTAATGACGGCTGGAAGAGGGAAACCCGGGTCCTAGGTGCCAGAGGGAAGCCACTGCTGGTGCCAGCAGCCTGGGACCCAGGTGCCAGAGGGAAGCTGGTGCTGGCAGCTGGGGGAAGGAAGGCCTACTCTTGCATGAATTTTCGTGCATCAGGCCTCTACTATGACTATAAAAAGTCATGGTAGGAGTCACCTTGGTGGGAGGGAAAGTGGAATTGGATAACTGGCAAGTGCTATTTCTTGGCCTCGACAGTGGTTATGAGGATGTTTGCTCATCCTGTATAACAAAAGGCTAATATGCAAATCGACCGAACAATGGAATGACCAGTCACTATGATGTGTACTGTCTACCAGGGGGCAAATGCTCAATGCAGGAGCTGCCCCCCTGGTGGTCAGTGCGCTCCCACAGGGGGAGCACCTCTCAGCCAGAGGCTGGGTTTACAGCTGGCGAGTGCAGCAGTGGTGGCGGGAGCCTCTCCTGCCTCCACAGCAGCACTAAGCCAGCAGCCGGACATCCCCTGAGGGCTCCCAGACTGTGGGAGGGTGCAGGCTGGGCTGAGGGACCTCCATGAGTGCATGCATTTTGTGCGCTGGGCTTCTAGTTCACCTATAATTTGTTTTGTGGGAATGTCTATACCTACATTTTATCCCACAATAAAAAGTTAAAAGTCTTTCCGGTCCCTTACCTGTGCCTTGGCCAATTTCTTTTCCAGAAGGTCCCGTTCCCGCTCTGTTTGCTGCAGTCGTTTATTAAGCTCCACTATGTCTCCCTTGAGTGATGCCAGGGCTGCCAAGTGGAGCTGTGGCGACAGAAAGAAAGAAGCACAAGGTTAGAGCCTTCAGCAGAAACTCATTTCCTTCCTTTCCTTCCCTGTAATTAGTGTGATCATATACTAGTAAAAAATGTTTCATCTCCAACGGGATGCTTTGGGGCTTATTAATCTCAGGGGACACCAGACATAAATCAGATGTCTTACAGGAAGCTGGGTTGTATGACCGCCCTAAATGTAACAGGAGAAAACTGTTGTAGGTGGGCAGTGAGACCCAATTTTGGAAGGTCCAATCAGGATGGAGAGCAAAGCTTCTCATTCTAAGGGCTTCCGCTGAGTTCCTCAGCAAGGATAATATTAAGAGCTGATGTGGGGCTGCCTGATTTTCAACATGAGAAGGATGAGGCGGAACAGAATTAGCTTCTACTTTTGGAAAAAATATGCATGCTGAGTTGGGCAATTTAAATGTTTGTTGCCACCCAATCACCCACATTGCTCTGCAAACAACAGATAGACCAAAGAGCTGAGTTAAAAAAAATATTTAATTTAATTTAATTTAATTTAATTTAATTTAATTTTTTCCATCACCATTATCCCCTCTATGCCCTCTTCCACCTCCACCCATCCCTCCCTCCCCTGGGGCTGAGTTTTAATAAAAAAAAAAAAAAATGGGAGAGCTCATTTCTTCAGATGGCCTCCTCCTACAGTTGCCTGTTGGTTTTTTGCCAGCTCATTCCTCCTCCGTGTCCCTCAGCCCGACTAGACTGACCAGATGCTTTTGCACTGGCAGGTCCTCTCAGAGGAGCAGCAACCAGACTCTGATAAATTATGCTGTGAGCAGGCCAACCAAGAATCCATCCAGATACCTTCCCCTGGCCAATTCGCTCAGGTTAACCGGAGCCAGAAAGAATATCCTTCACAGAGGAACAAGCGGCACCGAGCACTGCCAGGATCTCAGGTGCTTGACGTTCAAGTTCTGAACACCGAGCTCCAGCTGCAGGTGCACCTGCCGCGCACCTGCCTGCTCCGGCTTCCGGGGCCAATGGCCGGGACCAGCCCCGAGATCCAATCCAAACACTAATCCCTTGGCAATGCCACCTTTCAACCTTTGCGAGTCCCCACTTCTCATCTGTCTGCATCAATTCCAGGTGGATTCAGCCCATTCCCTAGATCAGTTCCATGTTATATTTGGTGACTGACTAGAATCAACAAACCCTCCCTCTTTAGATTTTTTTTTTTTTTTTTTTGGTGTGTGTGTGTGTGTGTATGTGTGTGTTTTGTAGCTTTGCCAACAGGGACTTAAAGTAAGGAATGAACAAATAAATGTGATCTTTAAAAATGGATGCAGTACAATAGTACATAGTTCAACTCTGAAGACTTTAATTTCAGGTTTAGTAAAATGCCCTTTTCTGCAGCTAGCACCATCTACACTGCATGCTGTTGGCTGGCAGGCTTTGGGGAGGGGGTGGTGTTATGAGAGAGGGAGAAGGAAATACAGGGCAGACACTGGAACTTCAAAACAGTAGTTTCTGTTAGACTGTAACGGCAATGAAAGTGACTTCACCTAATTGCATCGGGGCTGCAAACCAATAGATCAATAGCCGACGTGAAATCAGGAATGTTTGAAGTTAAAGAAGGAAATGCCAGGCCATCTGGCGGTATTTGCCTTCTCATGGAGGGCTAGGGCCGCTCCGAAAGGTCACTGAGGGTTTCACACACGAGGATCTGTCTGATGAATTCTCAGCACAAATGCCACAGTGTTCCCATTGTGCAATCTTTCTGAGGCTGTTCTGCTTCCGTACGGTGGAGTGGAACACAATCCACTCCCTCTGCAACTGGGGCGACCCTCCGCCTATGAACTGTCAATCTGAGGATTTTCCTCCGGCGTCAGACACCGCACCCTGGTGCTGTTATGTCAGGTCTTAGGAGAAGGTTTTCCACATCACTTCTGGCGAGAAGGATAAACTATTAGTACATGGAGAGCTGAGATGTTCTTTCAGAAATAAAGGAGTGGGAACGAGGGCCTGGACTGTGTCAGCCTTTTCCTCCTTTAAAACATCTCCTCTCTGACTTCTGGGGAAGGGTTGCAGGAAGGGGCTGGGGGAGGATTAGGGGAAAAAGATGCCAGAGGAGGCTGCTGTACACCCCTTTGTGAACTGGGCCAGATGGGGAGACACTGGAGGAGCTATTTCCATCACAGTGCACAGCAGAGGGCACCCAGGATGGGTCACTGCCATCGAGGAGAGAGAGCACTGCTCTCCAGATTGGCAGGAAGATCCATTGGATGAGCATTTGGGGCAGGTCCCTTCACTTCCCTGACGGAAGGGGCCTGTCCATAGAGTGAGACCAGACCAGTGGTTCCTCACCTTCCTCAGGTCACAGATTCCTTAAAAATCTCATAAATGGCACGGACCTTTCTTCTACAAGAGTAAAAATCGGGGGTTCATGCATGTGTTCCACCTAATTATGGTGATAACACACTCTGGAAATATTCATGGATCCCAAATTAAGAAACATCCAGATTTGATGCCAGCTCCGCGATCCCGCATTAAGTGTTGTAGACGGTCTCATATGCCATAACACCAACGTCTAGTGAGGAAAAGGCCTTGGTACTTGACCTCTCCCACTTCCACGTCTGCAGGCGAGTGTCTGAAACCCAGAGGTAACTAGCTTCCTCAAGGTCCCAGGGATAAGTTAACATCAGAACCAAGGCCACCAGTGCCCGTTCCTCACTATATGATGATGTGACAGTAATTTTCAGGGTTTTCTATGAGAATAAAATTTTTACTTTAAATATTTCCCTCTAATTATTAAAAATATGAAAATGTAATAAAAAAAAATAAACCAGAAAGATGACACTCTAAAGTTTAGTGGTGGCATCTGGGTAGTTTCAAACTATTTTTGGATACTTAATTATTTTCAAAAGAGAAAGAGGCTTTTGTATTAAGCAAAAGGGTTGTGATTGTGTTTTCTGCACATACAAGCTGTAGCGGAAAAATTGGAAAGGGTTATGTTCCTTCCTTGCTGTATCTTCCTCCCCATCCACCAGCTTTTCTGATAGAAGGTAAAACTTTAAAAATGAGGTAGAATACACACATGTCCCTAATGTTATTGCCAATTACTCAGCAGAAGCCATAACTACAGAGGATGGGAGAGAGTGGGGGGAAAAGTTGGCTCAGAAGTCACAAGACCTGTTGCTTGGAATTGAGCTGACAGGCCCCTCCTTTACCACCTGGTGAGTGGACACAGATAGGTTAAGTTCCCACCACAAGGTTGCTCCCCACTCCCTGTGAATCTCAGGTCAGCAGCTCTCCTGGTCCCACCTTGCCAATAGCTCGGCAATCAAAAGCTGACTAGCCCCTCCTCTACCCCCCCCCCCCCTTCCTTTTGGGTCTCATCCGCTCATCCTGCCAGAGCTGGTGGTATCTCTGCAAATTCATAAGTTAGAGAGGGTGGGCGGTGGTACAAGTAGTATGATGGGGACCTGTGTAGTGTCAAGATAGGCATTAAAACATAAGTATAAAGTTCTTTCTGGGCAATTTTTAAAAGGAGTGAAAGTGGATTTAAATATCAGGAAAGATAAATTTACCAAAATTGACAATATCTATAGTAAGAAAATTACATATAGTAAATCATTTGGGGGGATGTAGTTACCTATATTTTGGTTTCTGAAATGGCCTCCAACTTGAGTTAGAGCTTCAGACATATGAACTATGAAGTACCATTACATGAAGCTGTTTACTAACCAAAGAGGAAGAAAATATATTTGGAGTCAGGGCTCTTCTCCTTCCCAACACGCATCTCTCTCATGCTCAGGAACAAGACCTTGATTTTTAACTGGTTATACGGCAGTTCAGCTACAATGTCCCAGTTTTCAGCCTCCCTCGCAGTTGGAGCTACATGTGGACATGTGACAAAGCTCTAGCCAATAACATGTAAGCAGAACATTATGGGGGAGTTCTGGGAAACTCTTTTTGAAGGAGGGCCTGCCCTTTTTCTCTTCCTTGCTTGGTATATTAATGTGATGGATGGAGTAGCCATCTTGCTTCATAAAGATGAGGTCACCTTCCAGGGAGCTTCTAGTGGCTCAGGGACTCTGGGGAGTCCCCAAGAGCATCACGTGTATTGTCGGTGATAATGTGCTCCCCCACCTTACTCTACCATAGGGGTGTCGAACTCAATCAGAGAAGGGGCCAAAATCTAAAATCCAGCCTAAATCGCGGGCCGAATGGTTTACTGAACAGTCATAAACTGTCATTGTGATGGAAACGCAGCGGAGTGCAGTGATGACAGCGCTGTGCGGGCCTCATTGCAAGGCCTGGCGGGACGGATTTGGCCCGCGGGCCTTGTGTTTGACACATGTGCTCTACCAGCAGCAAGAACAGCAAACACGTGCTGGCAGTCCTGTTCACTCGGCACTCTCCCATGCATCACCCCATGGGATCTTCACCCTTAACCCCACAGCTCCGCGGTCTGCAGGGAAGCCAAGAATCCCAGTTCGCTGAGGCGCCAAGTCCTTTCCCCCAGGATCAGAGCTGGTGACCGGGACCCAGGACCTGAATCGAGGCTGTCAAACTCTAAGTCCACCAGTTTGCTCGTCTTTCTGAGGCTTTGGTCTGCTCTTTAACAGCCATCAGTGGGACCAATGGCTTCCACAGCCACACCTGAGACAGAGGAACGGGTTCACCCCGAGTCTCCTCAGGGCACCAGGGTGTGATGGCTGAGCCCGCCTTCCCGCGCTGCTGGCAGGCAAGCTCAGCCAGGGCAAGGGGTGCCCGTTCTCTTTCTTTCTCCTCCACCTGACCTGGCTACCTGAATGGCACTCCCGTGAGTCATGCCATTCTCTGTCAGGGAACCTCTGTTTCCTCCCAACCAAACGATGACCACTCTGTCCTGAACGAGCCTCTTGCCCTCCAGGTATAGGGGATACACAGTGTTGCTCATGCTTGAGTGGTGACCACGGGTAGTGCCAACTTCCTTCACCACGTGAACTGTTCTCTTTGTTAAAGGCGAAGAAACAAATGCAACTG